ATAAGTCACTGAGTGCCCTTCTCACACTTTACAATAGAGTGTGGAAGGAGCGTACATTTCCCAGTGCATGGAGGAGAGCTGTTGTCATTCCTATTGCGAAGCCAGGGAAAGATCCCGAGGAATCCCTCGAACTATCGGCCAATTGCCCTTACCAGTTGTGCCTTGCAAACTGTTTGAAAAGATGGTAAACAGCCGCCTAGTCTACTTCTTGGAAAAGAATAATATTATATCGCCTTATCAGAGCGGTTTTCGAAAGGGAGAACAACCGTAGATAACATGCTCCTCTTAGAGACATCTATTCGAAAAGCTTTTGTAAGAAGAAATCACCTTGTCTCAATATTCTTCGACATTGAGAAAGCTTATGATAAGGCATGGAGATACGGTATACTCCGGGATCTTCACGAGAGTGGCTTGCGCGGCAACCTACCAATTTTCATTCAGAATTTCTTGAACGCTAGAACTTTTCAAGTAAGGATTGGCTCTGTTTTTTCGGATGTTTTTGAACAGGAAGAGGGTGTGCCTCAAGGCTGTGTGCTTAGTGTAACCCTGTTTAGTTTAAAAATAAATTCTGTATTAAAAGAACTTCCTCCCACCATCTTGGGATCTCTATATGTTGATGATCTTACAGATTAGCTGTCGAGGAGCAGACATGAGATACAGTAGAGAGGCAATTGCAGATGGCTCTGAATAAGATCCAAGAATGGTCAGACAAACAGGGATTTACATTTTCGAAACAGAAAACTGTGTGCGTGCACTTTTGTAGGAAGCGAGGTCTCCATCCTGAACCTGAGTTATATCTAATGGTACAATTATTCCAGTTGCGCCTGAAGTAAAATTTTTAGGAGTGACGTTCGACCAGAAATTGACTTTCCTTTCTCATGTTTTAAACCTGAGAAAGAAGTGTCTAAAACACTAAATATTTTAAAAGTGTTGGCGAACACCTCCTGGGGTGCAGAGCGTTGCTCCATGCTTCGCATTTACAGAGCGCTTATTCCGCTCTAGACTGGACTATGGCTCAGTTGTTTATGGATCCGCTCGGTCATCTGTTTTGTTAAAACTGGATCCTGTTCACCATCAAGGTTTGCGGATTTGTTCAGGAGCTTTCAGGACTTCTCCTGTCAGAGCCTATATGTTGACTGTAACGAACCATCACTTTATCTGAGGCGTGAGCAATTGTCCCTTTTGCAATATTTTAATATTCTATCCCAACCTGAACATCCCAATAAGCTGTGCTTACTTGATAATGAGTGTAACACATTATTTGAAACACGTCCATCCTGTGTTCCTACCTTTCCTTTAAGAGTTCGCCCTGTCATTGAGGAACTTTCCCTCTCTGATATGCACCCCCCCCAAGCAGTACAGAATTTTGAAATTCCCACCTTGGGAAAATGCACGGATTCAGCTTCTTGATGTTTTTAAACATCACGTGAAGGCAAGCACTAACGAGATCGTTTACAGACAACTCTTCGCTGAGCACAGGCACAAATATAGCAGTTATCTTCCAGTTATATACAGATGGATCCAAGTCAAAAGATCATGTCGGGATGGCATTTGTAATTTGAAAGACCACATGGAGGGCAGACGCTTGCACCATGCTTTCTCTGTCTTAACATCTGAACTAACTGCAATATATTATGTCTTTTGTACATCTCAAGGCTCTGCCACAAAAAGTTCATAGTTTATACAGACTCGTATAGTGCTCTTAAATCTTTAGAAGCTTTTCCTAACACTCAAAATCCTGTGGTAGTGGATGTTCTCAAAATACATATAAATTAATGATCGTGGATATGAAATCCTGTACTGCTGGGTTCCCGGGCATGTGGGAATAAAGGGAATGAGCTGGCAGATATCGCAGCAAATCTGCTGTTGAACTGTCCAGTCGCCTCATCCCTTTTAGAGACATCTGTTGTGTTGTCAAGGGAAAGATCCGAAAAAAATGGCAGCAATTTTGGGATGTTCAGCTTCAAAACAAGTTAAGAAACATGTAAAACCTAGAATTGAGCATTGGGATTTTGCTGGAAATCGTAAGGAGTTTCTTTTGACTCGCCTCAGAATTGGTCACACTAGAGTGACACATAACTACCTTTTAAAAGCTGAAAATGAGCCTGTTTGTTTTAATTGTAATGTTTGTTTATCTGTTCGTCATATTTTAATTGAGTGTCCATGTTTTAATAGTCTTCGCCAGAAATATTTTAATAGCTGTGACTTACCTCTCGACCGTTTAATCGGAAGAGAGGTCAATTCTAATTTATTTTATTATTTAAAAGAGATTGGCTTTTATTACCAAATGTAATTTGTTTTGAAGACTGTGTCTTGAATTTTAATATGTGCTTTTAACTTGTTTTATATGACTTCATCCTCTGGATTTGGTACATTTATCTACTTGTTTTTATTTATTGAATTTTAATGTCATCAATTGTAATCATCTCATCTTTGTTTGGCGCGTCATAATCATCTCTGGTTTTGCGCCATAATCACCTCACTCATATTTTGTGGCAATTTCATACCTATCGAGTGACCTCTCGAGAAGTCGGCTGAGAGCGAAGCGATGTGATGCACACTGCAGTCATTTGCTTTGTAAAAAGCCTAGTGCACATCATCAGATTTTGTTCCGTCTATGATGTGGTTTTGGGTACATCCAGATAGCGGGCAACACTTCTTGCAGTATGCAGTGGACCTGCAGTAATCATATTAGGCACATTTGCAACATATACAGGAACACATCATTGTCCCATGTTTAGTCCATAATTACATCCAGTTCTCCAAATTTTTCTGCCAAGTCACATACAGTGTTTATGGAACATGTGCTTCGTCTTAGTTTATAATTTCATCGATAGTGTTATGGAGAACACAGAAAATATATAAATAAAATATATTCAAAACAGTTCATTCAGTTGCGGGCTGCCTCTACCCGAGGCTGGGTGCATTTTGAATAAAGACAAAAAAATCTTAATAAGCCATTCTTTATTTTCATCAAAACAGTCTTACGCTTCCGAGATCAACTTTCATTCTGTCTACAAGCAAAACATTCGAAGCACTCAGCACGTAGGCTGACGTCACGAACAGCAGTGCCTCGCGCCAGTTATTACTTCAGTTCGTTTCACAAAAATAGATTTCCACTGATTTGGCAGCATTTTCCCTCTTCAGATAAAACAGCTTTATCGATTCACCTTGCTATTTCCCTGTAAGTGTCATATTGTTAGCACATTCCAACAGCTGATCGAAGAAACAATCTTCCCACTCTGCTTATTAAAAGTTTTCCATAAGTAATGCTTTGCACATGGTGCACATTGATGCTTCTACTCTCCCTGTGAATTATACTGAGTGCATCAATGCTCATCTCTGTGTTGTCATTGGTCCGTTACATTGTTGTTATATGCAAATGTTTTATGCTGGCAGTTTTCATCATGTGTGTATCATTTCAAGGCCATTTTTAATTTCTCAATGTTCTGATCAATTTATGCAGAAAAATGTAGGTGTTTCCTTTCAAATATTTTGAAATGTTTTCACTGTAACACTAACCATGAGAGCTCTTGTTTTAAATTATGACAATCTTGAGCAGATAAGCCACTAGGAAGTCATATATCAGGAAAGTTTTGGGTATTGTTCTGTTATTGGAACCAGGTTCAGAAATGTAGGAATGTATGCACGTGTGTTTGCATATAAGTGCACATATATGTATATATGCACACACATACACATACATTCTTACTTGCATTTATAAATTGCATACGTGAATACATCCATACTTGTATACGTACATACATTTCTCAAAACAGATCAGTACCAAGTTTTTTTATGACCACACTGTATATATAAGCCTTCTGCAAATATATGACAGCAGTAAACATTGAAATTTTTTATTTTTTTATTTTATTATTATTATTATTATTATTTTTTAATTCTGAAATGTTTCATAGTGTCAAGGCTGTGCGAGACAAGGCCTTTGTAGTGAAATTTTTTTTACTGGCATATTATTTACTTCTATTTTGGCAATTTTCTATTGACGTATTCAACTTTTAATTCATGGAACATTATCAGACTTTTTGCAGTATTCTATAAAATTAGGGTTTTTTTTAATTTTAATATATAACATTGTAATTTAATTTTTTATTTTAAAGTTTGACAATCATATTTCAATAAAATCATTTTAGAAATGTATGAACATTTTTAAATACTTAGATTGTACTGTGAAGATATTTGATTTGTTATTTTTCTATGAATCTGTTTTTTAAAATCAAATTATTACAATATCCTTTAATGAATTAGTACTTTATTCTCTTTTTAAATGAAAGCAGAATTATGTGTGTTCAATTGCCTCATTTATGTATATGACTAAACATATAGAAATTTATAGAACAAAAGTGCATTACATAAACTGCATATAATAAGAGGCACACGTCCCAATTAATTTTTGGGAAAAGGGATAATGTCATAGGTATTTATTTTCAAATAATCAAGATTTTTTTCCTTAATTATAGCACTTTCAAATTGTATCTAATTGAGTTAGTTGAGTGGGTCCTCACCCCCAAGTCCAAAAAAGAAAGGAAGGGAAAAAATTACTTATGGTCTCTTGTGTTTTAAAAAAAAATGCTCAGAATTTGTTTTCAATTTTACTATACTTTAAAATGTGGTAACACATGTATAATATTATATGTATTCAACTTTCTACAAAAGTGAGTTGAGAGAAGGGATTTTTAATTTCTTCAGTATTCAGTTGTTTATGTGTTCAGTTGTTAATATGTATATTATAAAAAGTTTATTATTTTCATGTACACATTCAAATTAGTTTTTAGATAAACTGTATAAAATGCCTGTGATAAATATTCATATTTATTAACTACTTATTAAGTAGCAATACTTTATTTTTACGTTTTAAAATTGCATGCAAAATTAAGCATTTTGATGGGTAATTTAAAAAAATATTTTAATTTATGTATTTATCTTGTAACATTAATTTTCTTTTAAGGTATTAACAATGTAATATATATTTCATTTAGGTAGACTGCCTTGTGACTTCTGCAGGTGGTGTTGAAGAAGATATCATAAAATGTCTTGCACCAACTCTTCTAGGAGATTTTGCTCTTGATGGTGCTGAACTTCGGTAATTTAAATTTAAAGAAAAATGTTTATTGCATTTAGTAACAACTGCAATATTTATATTGAACCATTACTTAGCATTTTATAATTAGCAGTAAATAAATTGTATTCTTAATAGGGATAAAGGTTTAAATCGTATTGGAAATTTATTAGTTCCCAATGATAACTATTGTCATTTTGAAGACTGGGTTATGCCTGTATTAGATGAATTATTAGAAGATCAGACATCAAAGGTAATGTAAAATGGAACAAAAGTGATGTTTATTTTTTTATTTGACATATTATCATTTAAATACATAATAGAAATGATTGTGGTTTTTCAATGGGATCATAAATTTGTTTTAAAAGCACTTTTAATATCTTTGCTAATAATAAGCAATTTATCGATAGTAAATATTGAAAAAATGTAACAATTTATTATTTAGGTATTTAGGTTTATGTAACAATAATAAAAAAAGGTACTTTCTTATTATCTGCACTCACACCAAAACATTTTGAACTTTATATTGACTTTGAAGAGCATCTGTGAACTTGTTGGCGACTTTAGAGAGAAATGTTTGTTTGTGTATCCTTATATCTGTTTCAGCAATGTGTCTAATATTGCCATTCCCCTCCACACTATATTCACCATGTATACAGTGGTCTATTTTCACTGTTAAAAATAAATCAGAATTGTGCAACCTCAGTGCTAAGATCTGAAAATATTTAAAAAAAGGGGGGTCTGAAAGCTTTCAGATTTTAACAGTCGCCCAGGAGGGTTGGTTAAGATTTTTACTCTCTCGCTGAATTCGCAGTCTACCGATGCACTAACTCCTTCTCCCCCCCTTCAGTCTTTTCTCAGTTTACAAAAATAATTATAAAAATAGAAATATATATGTTGTGCTTGTAGAGTACACTTTCTGTCTTGTGTTTTTGTTAGTTAGAAGTTGGAATTTGTGTAGTATAGTTTAAAGCATACTTTCAGCGGAATCTTAATTCACAGTCTGGACACCAATGAATAGTTTCCTTTCATTTCCCATGCTTTGCACTATGCAAAGTCTTTGAGGCTTAGATTTTTTTTCCCCCTATAGGAGGTATCTTTTTCAATTAAAAGCCTTTCCTAAAGACATTGTGGAGGCGAATTTATGAATGGCTTATCACTACTTGTAGGCCTTAGACTGGTTTGGTTTATTTAATTTTAACAAAGCACTCAAGGCTATCTGCCTAAGGGAAGGGATGCCTCTGTGGAAGACTTTCTAAGGGAAATTGACTCGCAGCCATGTTACACGGGCGGGGGGAAACCATGAAAATACCCATACAGCCATCCCGTTCGCCAGGATTTAAGCCCCAAACCGAACTACCAGCGTTTAGTGACTTTACCGCTCGGCTGCTTGTGAGCTCTGCATGCCTTAGGTCCATGGGTTACTTAATGTCCAACCTATATTCCAAGTGATTTGTTTTCGTCTTGTTATTATAGATAATATATGCATTATGAACTGACATATTCAGCACTGTCTTGAAAAACTTGATAATCCCATTTTGTACCTCATTTCCTTTCAAAAAGATAAGGATGTAGCTTTTAATCCATCACATCCAGTAGCATGATTATGTTACATGACACATTTTGTTTTAGTTATAGCTACACCCCTCTTTTCTTTTGTAACAAACAAAGCATCATGAAACATAGAAATAAAGGTAATGATTTTCTTGCTTTCTACTTTAGTACCAGCACACTATTGGATTCAGTGACAACTACCTCCCCTTTTTTTTTCAGCCTTTTTGAATTTACTATGTCTGGTACCCTCTTCCTATTCACTCTCAAAATATTTGCAACATTCAGCCCATTTCACTGGTGGAAACAGTAATAATTATCCATTTAATAGTGTATAGTTTTCTGTACTTATGTATTGACACAGCCACCTTAGCAGAAGTTGCTGAATCGCAGAATGTGCCAAAGTCTAGCAATCATGTGCATAGCCATTGCTCTGGAAAATATTCGCATAGCAGTCCTTCAGTCAAGCAGTGCTGCCATTTTTGTATGAATTTTTGTTGTATTCTATATTCCAATGGTTTTTACAAACAAACCATGATATTTTTTTGCCTTAAACAAAGTTTTAAAATATAAACTTATGAATTTTGCCAGCAATGGAAGAGACTACAGTACAAATTATGCAAGAATTATGGTAAAATTTATACAAGAATACAGAATTTTGGTGAAATTTTTCTAACGTCAACAATGAGGAAATGCATTTCCTGGATAGCGACTGTTACTGAGGATTGCACAAAGCCGAATCTCCGCAATTCTGTGATGTTGCTTTTAAATGAAAACAGATTGCTGTGTACTGTGGGAGAAGAAAGCACAAAAAAATAACAGAAAACTTTGAAGAACATAAGTGGTGGTTTAATTTTTTTTTTTTTTTTTAAGTGTATCATGTAATTCTTTTTTAATAATTAAAATTTCTATTGGGAATCTTTCTTAAAAAAGGCATGAAAATTTCAACCAACTTGCACCTGATAATTAAATTTTACCTTTTTTATCTATAAAAAATCGTTTATATGGTTGTGTATTACATAAGTAAGAGTTTTCCCAAAAATGGGGTTCCATCAGTTTCACAACTATTTTCGAACTTATCAACTCATCTCGTGACATCAGTATTTATAGTAATATCTGTAATCCTTGTCCTTATAATGAAATCCCATAAATAACCAGATGATGATTGTCATAGTTCAAAAGTTTTGATACCAAATTTTGCTGCCTTCCTTGGAATATACTGTGTAAAACCTAACCTACCCCTTCATAAAATAAGTGCTTCATCTGGTGCTTTATTTTCCGAAGCAAAGAGCAGACTTTTGGAATGTTTGTTCTCTTAGGATTTCAGCAATGTTATGAATTTTGAAAGTTTTTTAAGCCCTGGAAATGAATCTTGTTTTGTGTTATCAATAAATGAAAAACTTGCATACAAGTTCAAACCTGTCCCTTGATATTGTTTTAGGAAATACTGATATCTCAAGAAATGCATCTTTGCTCAAAAAATGCTTTATAATTGCCTTTTGAACTGTACCCATAAGCATAAATATTCTGAGAATGACATATATTTCTTCCACGGTAACTGGTGGCCATTTGCGTATTTGTGAATGCTCTTTCAATGTGCATTGTTTACTAATGTAAGTGTCTGCGTATAAATTAGTTTATCTGACAACAGGTTCTATAACTTCTTTGTCAAAATATTTAATGTTTTAACGAAATTTCTACCATTACTGGCAAATTTTACTAGGGCATATTCTTAACAAAGGCAAAAAATATCATAGTTTGCTTACAAAAGTCATTGGAACTTGGAATACGACAAAAAGAATGCATACGAAAATGGCAATGCTGCTTGACTGAAGGATTGTTATAAAAATAGTTGCCTGAAGAGTGGTTATACAGAGGATTGTCAGAGTTTGGCTCAATCTGAAAATTTGGCAACTTCTCTTAAGGTGGTTACAGTAACACACAAGTACCACTTTTGGTAAATATGATTTCATTTAGATTAGATATGTGTTTTGTAAAAATCAAATTACTTAACTTATCATACTGCTTGAAGATTATTTGCTTGTATAGGTATTAAAGTACTACCAGGGTTCGTAGCGGTCCTTACAAGTGCTTATAAGTCCTTATATTTGAAAATGAAATATAAAGGCCCTTATAGGTGCTTATTTTTTTGTTTTTAGTACTTGTTTTTGCTTTTAGTGCTTTTTTTTTTTTTTTTTTTTTTAAATGAACGCACATTTTTTGCCCGTACCAAAGCCGAAACTAAATAAACAACTTTTCTTCCTTATATGCAACGTCAGATGGTGAATGGTGAATCATACTCCCGGAAATCGCTTTTTCCCCCTTTCTCTGCATTACCGTAACTATGGTGCAACGCGAGAATTCTCCCACCCAAATAACTAATTTCTATCTAGATTTATTAATTTTGGCATTCTCGTCCGTGTGTCTGTTCATATCGTGTTATTAGGATCATTATGCTTATATTATGAGTATACTGCATGAATATTTAGAGTAATATAGTTTGCCAGTACTTCTGAAGTAAGATAACTTCCAAAAATAGGTGTGTTTGCATCAGATTATCTTTATAGGGAATGATATTGGAATGGCTTAAATAAAAGGTAAGTAATCAAAATAGTAATTTTTTTTTTTTTTTTTTTTTTTTTTTTTTTTGTCTTTTTCATCTAGATTGATTAGACTAAAAGTTTTTGCGGTGTACTCAACCTAAAGCGATATTGATTCTATTCTGGAAATTTTACGCAGTCCTGTTTGGAAATTAGAATCAAAACAACCCCCCAGATTAGTAGTCTCTTTCTTTTCCTTTATTTAGTTTTCTTATCCTCCGAATAACCAGCAGCTGTTCATTCCGTTACGTACTATTCACAGTGGACGATTATTGCCGCACGTATGCGCAATAGTCTGCCCTTACAAGGAGTTTACTGTGTTTTCTTTCTAAGCAGTTCCGTTTGTTCTATTTTATATGATGCCATATCCAAATGTCAAAATCAATCTTTTAGTCCGAGAAATCTAAAGAGATGGCTGCAACAAAATCGGCCCCCACTCGCTTTTCAGTTACTATCCGGAATATTCAGACAATTTCCGAGTATGCGTTAGTTAAGCTTTACTGTTAAGGAACTGCATGAAGCAATTTCCTGTCTTCTGATTTTCAGAATGTGCCTCTCTTTTTATTTAAATACTTACTTTGCTTGTTGCTTGGAATAAATGTTTAAGGAAACTGGTATGGCAAAATAAATTTAGAAATGTTCCGATTTTGAGGATTTAAAGTTAAATTATTTAAATATTAATATGAGTGGAAAATAAATTTGTATTTTATTATTAGGTGCCACGTTCTGCATAGTTTTTTCCCCCCCTCTCATTGTAAACTAATTCTGTAAATTGAACTGTTCTTTAAAGGTCAAACAAAAAAAAAAAAAAAGTTGTTTCCAGTTTGAGGTAGTGGCTCATTTTCTTAACAAATTATTGCATTGCTCATATTTTAAAATACAAGTCTAATTTTTTTTTTAAAGTTATGCAGTTGTGTACAATGTAATTAGACAGGTGCTTATTTTTTCCGTAAAATGTGCTTGAAAAGTGCTTATTTTTTTAACTAAAATGTGGCTACGAACCCTGACTACATTACAATGAAAAGTATACAAAAGAAATTTTTAAGTATTGTTAATTTTCATTATTTAGAAAATTTGTCTCACAATAAATTCAAACCTCATAGCATATATCAGTATATACCATGTTATATTTAGCTCAATATAAACTTAATCCAAGCCCTTGAAAAATCATAAATCTATACAGCTTTATTTCCACGAAATGAGAAGTTTTCAAGCTTTATTACAATGCTTAAATAATATTTATATAATTCTGCTTTTCATATTTAGATTTTATTTGTTTGATACAATCATGATATCATGACTTCCTAAAATGTGACTTTAAAAAAAAATCTTTATATTCCTTTCTAGAAATGTGTTTGGTCACCATCAAAAATCATAACTAGATTGGGGGAGAAAATATCTAATCCAGACTCAATTTGTTACTGGGCAGCAAAAGTAAGTAAATTTTATTAATTTAGTTTTAATTTTAATCATTAAGAACAATAAAATAAGAATGGGTGCCTATAAATATAGAAATAAAAAAAAGTCATCTCTTTTAAGCAGAAACAGTTTAACTGAGTGTGTAAAAGGCAACAAAAAAGAATAAAGACTAGATTGTTTAGTGATTTAATCATAAAAAATAATTCAGTTTCTGTAATACTTTTGAAAACAGATTCAGGGAAATTGTCATTAAGTGCTTGAAATGTGAACATTTAGAGCAGAGATTTCTAAACTTTTAAAAGGATGGTTTTCTTCATCAACCCACTTATATTTTTCTGTATAATAAACAGCATACATAAATCATAATACAAATTGCAATCATAACATAACTGCACATAAAAAGCTTAAAGATTACAATTAGTTTAAATGTGAGCAAAAACTTTGAGAGGAAAAAAAAAAAAAGGTTTATTAGATTTATGTTGTATTATTTATTATTTTTTATTCTACAAATAAAAGCAGGTTTTCAAAAATAAAATTAGAGATTCTAGTTGCACAAAAGTTTGATTTTGATTGTTGTGATGGTTGTGCTTGATATATTGATGAAATATTTTTAATAGCATAAAATTGCTCAAGTCATCTCAATCAAAAACAATGGTATTTTTGTTTTGGTATATTTTTTTCTGATGATTTTAGATTCTGAAACTCAAGAGTGTTGAAGAAAACCATTTTCCATCAATGCAATTTAATTATGCTTTCATCATACAATATCGTAATATCAAGATGAAATAGATTGCAGTTATATCAGCCATGCTGGCACCTTCAAAAATTTTCAGATGTTTTTAGATTTTGAAACTCAAGAGTGTTGAATAAGATCATCTTCCTTCAATGCAATTAACTATGCTTTCATCATAATATCAAGATGAAATAGACTGCAGTTCTATCAGCCATTAAATTTTTAAAATGGCTTGTACATGACAATATACCTTCTGAGAAAGTTTGACATTCTTTGTATGTTTTGGATTGTGTTTTCTTGGGCTCCTGGGTTTTATTTTTTTATCTTGCACTTTTTGCATAGAAAATTTATTTAAAAAATATATTGTTGCATATTTCCCCCTTATATTTATTTTATAAGATGTCTTAGTACCTGCTATAGCTTTGAATCAATAAACACTTAATTGTCAGTTTTAAAATAGGAGTAATTTTTGGTATTCAATGGGATCTTTATCATGCCAATCAATTGCCCATGATAATTTGGCTATAACCCCTTGATTACCAATTGACACCCTTTAAAATTCCATGGGCTGCCAATGGGTCAATACCCTGCTGGAAACCTCTCATTTAGAGCTGATTTAAGGAAGGTATTATATTTTCTTTACTTTCTAAAATATGGTGATCCTCTTCACTGAATCAGTCCCGTTTGTATAGATCATGACAGAGTGTCATTATCTATATCAATAAAATCCCCATACTTCCCACCAAAATTCTAAAATTTCTTCCAGTTAACTTCTCTCCCCTTTGTCACAGTCTTCCTTCTCCAAAAAGCATGTCTAGACATCTGGTAAATCTAGCTTTCTTGAATCCATTGGCTCTCTTAAGAAACTTGTTTCCATGGTTAAGCCAACTATGCAGTTTGGGAAGTTCATGTTTGTGTATTAGGGAACCTGTGCGAGAATCAGTGAATCGGTGTTTAAAAGCAATTTAGGGGCAAATATTTTATAAATGGAATTCTCTAGAACTAATAACCCATCCATATTGACCCTTTCTAGTATTTCCCACATATCTGCTTATTTTTTCCCTCTTGTATCTTCCTTCTGACAAAATGTTTAGTTATTGTAGTAGACTGAGCAATTTATACATTAAAGCAATATCAAAGATTTTATCATTCAAAGATACTTCTCGCAAAATGGTAACCTAATCTCGAATTCGATTAACTGCTGATATTGGGTTTCTAAATGTTACTGCAAGTGACACTAATACAGGGTTCGTACGATCCTTAAGAGTCCTTAGGTTTTTTGGAATCGATTTTTGG